CACATGAGGCCAGGGAACCCCAAGAGGAATGGAACCAAAAAGCAGCCAGCGGCGGTGGGAGGACTTGAGCCCCGGAACATCACAGCGTATGTGTGCTTGCACCAGGATTAAGAAGCATTCGACTTTGCTGCAGGACAGCTGACGTCTGCTAACACCTCCCCCAAGACCGCCTCGCAAGAGTGCAACCCTCATTGGGTATACCCGGCTCGGGGAGCTAGCCTAGGTACTTTACAGCTTCAGTCAACTCTGGGGCGCAATCTGATTTTACCGCACACAATGCTTTGCCACGAACTCTCCTGCCTCCGAACTTCTGCAAGGCTGCAATGTTGTTGCCGGAGGTTCTTGTTGTTTGCGAAAACGCAGCAACACATCCGCTGTATTCATCACGCGCGGTGAGACAAGCTTGCTCGCCTTCTGACTCTTTCGTAAGATCCTGCCCTAGCATGATGCGATCAACCCTAAGCCTACGCTCGTAGTGCAAAGGAGGAGTTTCTTCGGGGCCCCTCTATCTTAGCCCTATGTACCCTGACCCTGCCAGTCATCTTGGCACGTCTGCAGATTTCGCAACACCGATTTTTGGGGAAGTGCATCATCTGATGGTTTACGGCTTTAATTCCGCAATGAATCTGTCGCGGAGACTAGGAGTCCATGCCAGGTCGTCGCTGTCGATTGGGGCATCGGCTTCGGATGCTGCTGGCGCATCACACACTGAAAGTTCATCATCTTTTTCGAACTTGGGCAACGATGGATCCGGTTTGAACCTTAAACCTACTGGATCCCCGGACGCAGGGCCACTTGGATCTCTGGGGTCCGCCGGTCCAGCAACTGCTTTAGCGGCGCGTCGCCTTCGGATATATTCAGGATCAGGTCCGGAAGAGGAAGATGGAGCCTCCGGAACCTCATCTAGATTTAGGTCTTCTAGCGGATCATGTTCTTCAGGTACCAGGCCTTTAGAGGAACTCTCTCCCGGATGATTGGAACATTTTCTTCAACTCTATCTACCGGAATTTTAGCCGAAGCTGGGCAACGCAAAGTCAAATCCCCGATGCGATCTGGCTTGACACAGTAAGGCAACTCATCAGGCGTCCACACGAACGGCTCGCAATGCTGGTTTACCTGAACACCTAGTAGGCTTTGGACATTCGTACATGTTATTCTTATCGTGGATTTATCGCATTTGTCACTGGCTGCGCACGCATAGTAGGCCCGAAACACGCATGGCAGTTTTGCTTTCTTTGGTCCTGGGAACACACGGGGACTTGCCATTGCCTTTGCCTTTGGATGGTGCTGCGGCTGCGGATGCTGTGGCTTCCTCTTGGGCTTTCCTCGCCGCTTTCTTTGTTTTCTTTTTGGCGTTCTCCTTTTTCTTCTCCTTTGCCTCCTTTCCCTTTTCTCCTTTTGCCCTTTTTCTCCTTTTCTTCCTTTTCCTTTTTCTCCTTCTACTTTTCTTTTCGATGTTTGGGGGGGGGCACCTTCCGCCTTTGGCGCCACATTCGCATTTGCAGTCTGCTTTGGCTTCAATGCCTTGTCGATTGCTTCTGCATTATCCTCAAGCTGGCTGATTTCAATGACATCACACATTGCGCCACACAACCACTTCCAAGCGCACTTGCTGGACTGCGACGATGCATTGCGAAAACAGTCTCTATATGGAGGCTCATTTTGGGGTGACCTTTCATAGCCTCCGCATGGGCCTGGTTGAGGCCCTCGCACCAGGTCCGGATTCTGTTGTTGCGTCACTTCAAGAATAGCGCGGTCGTGTTGCGCCAGGCTGAGCAGTACCTGGCACACTCCCTCCAGACAGCGAGGCATGAGCAGCATCGGGAAGAAGGTCGAGCTGGACGTTCTCGTCATCATCAAGCACGGGCATCGATTCCGAGAGAACGGAGAGTTGCGGACGCTGGCAAGTTATTTGACTCCTTCTTTGAGCAAGCAGGCTTGGGCCCCAGCGGCCTGCCTGGCTTCGCTGGGGGTTCAACATACACGCCGACGCCTGCGCTGAGCTTCTTCTCGCTTTCGCTGCTGATGTCACTGCTGCCCTTACTGCCTTCAACCAGCAGCCCTGACCTTGGAAACCTGCTTGGCTGCCAGGCCCTGTTGCTTGATTGGGACGCCCACTTGCTCGCTGCCAATCCTGCTACGGTTTTCGGACTCGGACTTTCCTTTCAGCCCTGCACGCTGGCAAGACTAAAGTCGAACCTGCGCTTCTTGTCGCAGAGCTCTCCCCAAGGCTGCCTCAGAAGGGTGGCCATTTCTGGGTTGTCAGGGACGCCACGTCACTACTTGCGCAGCTGGGGACAGGTGCTGCTTGCGCCACATCCTGAAACCCAGACCGGAATGGTCGCGCGAGCTGCTTGGGGCGAGAGAGGTAGCCAACGTGGGCGTGAACTTCGTGTTCGTGAAGTCTCTTTCGCCTGATTAATAAAAGCGGGGGGCCAGCCCCACCTTGCAGCGCCGGGGCTCATTCCGTTTCGCCTGTCTGGGGGACTGGTCAGCCGACACCGACCTGCAGCTTCTACGCCTATCCACGACCAGCGAGTATCCCACTTCGCTTCGGCATAGGCACATATCAAGCCCATTTCCGGTTGCTCCGTTTACGCCCCTACGTTCTCACCGAAGATCCGACGGTGGCTTATGACCTTATCCTGGGCATGGACTCGCTGGACACAGCGTGGATCTGCACGAAAACAGAATCGCGAATTGCTGCATCCAGGAAATCGAAGTTGTGCAAAATTCGGCTGGCGCCATCTTCACGCTTGAGAAGATCATCTAAGAAAGAAGCCGCCAAGTCTTCAGGGGCGACTGGCCAGAGCGTCACCAGCTCACACTTTGCCAACTCACACTTTGCCAGCTTTAAGGATAAGCCAATCCCTGCGGAGCGCTGCGGCCACAGCAGCCAGATCCCTGCCAAGACTCCCTAGGGCTGGAGGGGGGCCCCTAAAGGATCACCCTGCGCAGCACCCGATCCCCAGGTTGTTGATCGCCTGCGCCGTAAGCGGTCCCTTGCGTGGTATTGCTTGCAACAGCAAGCGCAAGAGGCAGTGCGTCGGCAAGTTCTTGCGCCAGGTAACCAAGAACTCCATCCGGCGCAGGGGTTACTGAAGGAGCTGGTCGAGCGCGATCAGAGTGACAAGTGACAAGTGAGGGTAGGTTACGCGCAGGCAAAGCAGGAAAGGCATATACAGCTACTGAGGAAGCTGATCGAAGTCAGGCTAGACTACGCGCACGCAGGCACGAAAGCAGGAAAGGCTCGCAGGGAATATGTCATGTTTGCTAAGCACGCTGACGTCGGCAGTCGCGGGTGAGACGTTGTTTAGGCCTTTCGTCGAGGGCTCACACTAAAGGATGTAGTCACCCGCGCGGAAGCGACGGGCATACAAGTACTGCCTAGAGGCCTCGTCAGGATCTGCAAAAGTCGCACACACGCAGCAGTAAAGTCTTGGGTGTCAAGACCTAATTCCGAAGCACCATCAAGCTAACACAATGCCTGGAGTCTAAGATAGCCGCTATGGCTTCGGGCATGGCTAAAGTTGACACGGGCCCATCTGCCTTGCAACAGCTCGGCCGGCACCTCAGGTTCAACTTTGGGCGCGTGCACCAAATTCACCACTCAAACATAGTCCAACCCACCACTCAGATCGGAAGCTATTAGCATCCGATCCTGATACGTCGTCCACAGAGGTTTTGATGAGCTGAAGAGCTTTTGGGAACGTTCCAGAACGGCTCCACAGTAGCTTCTGCAGGCTCAGGTAGCATTTTGGAGCCACGCCCGCGTCTCAGGAACTCCTGGCGAAGGTTCCGTAAAGCTGCAGAGAGGGTGCGACTGCATGTCGAATTCTGGGGCAGGTTTCGGAACAGGCATCAACCCGGTTTAATGGCATTGAAGTTCAGGCAGCAGCTCAGGCCAGTGCGCGCGTAAGTGGGTCCATCTGGAAACGAGCAATCCTGCGCCTACGGGCAACATTGAAGAATCGTTTCGTGACGCAGGGCTGATGCACGTGCAGTTTTATAGTCACCGTGACGTTTGGTGTTTGCAGGCACATGAGATGAAGGACCTGGTGCGGCGAGAGATGTCGATGAAGGCGAATGCTGCGATCTCTGCGAGGGCTCCAGGAGCTGCTTCGCAAGCCGCGAGCCTCCTAGCTGATCCTAATTACTGACCCTTTTTCGTCCTTTTGCGCAAGCTGTGCAGTTTCCAGCTGAGATTGTTCTTTAGCAGACGTTTCAGGGCAGGAATGCAGTTTTGCAGCGCATGAGCTCGAGTTCTTAACGGGATGGCGCTCGCTCCAAACCAAGATTGTCTTGGTGTAGGGTGTTCTTCGCAGCCCTGATGCTTGTTACACGGACTCCTGTCGTTGCCACTTATGGGCCTTGCTGCGCGGTCTCTGTGACTCCCACCTTGACGGACCACATCTGTGGAGCGGTGGGCCGAAGAGTCCCTGGGAAACATAATCGCTTGTAATTCAATGACCAACCACCAGCCTACCTGGAAAAACTGGAAATGTGCTTCCACATGCCGGGAGATGCACAGCTGGTTGAAGGAAGAATGCAAAGCGCACACAGCAGCCGCGCGCAGAGCCTCAGCAATTGGATCAAATCTCAAACGTTAGGACAGCGGAGCGGTCCGAGGTGAAGCCGTTGAACCCAGCTGGTTGAGAGTGGCTTCCACCCATCAGTTGAAGGGTGTGCTGGCCGAAACGGCCCCGAAAGATCGTGATGACTCAAACACCCAAGCACACATCCTGAAGCTTGTGTGAAGCAAACTTCTCCCTGCAAGCTGCTCCGATCGGCCCCAAAGCTGTTAATGCTGCAGAAGACCCCAGAGTCAAAGCTTCCGGGGAAAGAACGGCGCCAGAGCAAATCCAATCACGTAGGATATACCTTCAAGTGCAACGCCTGCTATGCTTGAAGCTTTGCTGAGGGCTGGAGGCTTAAGCTGAAGCAACTCAGCTTGAGCCAGCTCACGAAACGCAGACGAGCCCGTTCCTTGTCAGTGCAAATTAAAAGGTGCCTGGGAAAAGGTCCTGGATCAAGCGCAAGAAGATGGGCATGTCCTGGCATTCGGAACATCTTTCCTTGTTTCCCACTGCTTCCTTTGACGAGGTGCCTGCGTGGTGATCTTTGGCAGGTTGAAGTCGCGGAGAGCTCTGCAAAGGACCACGTTCTCATCGTTGTCAGGCTCCTTGCCCTTCAAGGAGCCAGCCTCACAACGATCCGGAGAGCTTCTCAAGTCTCTTCCCAACCACCCCTGCCTGGCGAAGCAAAGACTTCACTGCCCTCAGACCCCAGTCGTAGTGCATCTGCTTCGACAACAGCTCCTGAAGAAGGCTTGGTCTTTTGGCCGTCTGAAGCAAGAATGAACCCAGTGCACCGGTCCTTGGAGAGCGAGTACAAAGTGACCTTAGCCACAGAAGAGATCGCATGAAAGGCAGGTTGCGGCTTCTTTGAAGGCTGGAAAAGGGAAAGCTGTTTGGGGCTCCGGCAAACTTGTGGGCCAGCAGCCGGGCGATGGTGAAACCCTCGGACATGAGCATGTTCTCACCTCCAGCTCGCCACAGCTCAGCAGCTCACCAACACACGAACACACGAACAAACTCAAACAACTTCTTCAAACAGCTGACTGGAAGGACTTGTCCTTTGAGCAAGCTGAGCAAGCTGAGCAAGTTGCAGATGAACTTCAGATTTGGGACGATCATGGCCACGCTGCGGAAAAGCGCCTTCATGCTGAAAAAGGAGCACTTGTTGAAGTCGTGTTTTTCTCAGCTTCTCTGGCTGCCTTCAGGTTTTCGGGCAGCTCCGTACGCCCCGCATAGCCTGGATTCCTCAGCATGTCTCAATCTCTGTCTCGCATGCAATTTCTGCTAACTTCCGCTATGATGCATCGTGATAAAAGCGCCGCATGTCTTGATCAAACGAAGCTCCTAGCAAGACTTCGAAGACAAGGTGGCTAGTTGTAAAGCAGGATCGAGGTGTTGCCTCATCCACAAAGAGGAAGGTCTTGCTGTTGGCGCGGATGGCATCCAAGACTGACTTGTACTGCGTGGAGACCACAGACAAGACCTTCGAAGATCACAGCTCAGCCGTCAGCTCACTTTTGTTTGAAGGGACCTCGATGGAGATGCGATTGAACTCGTCGAAGCAGCCCCAGGCGCCAACCTGCTGAAGCACTTTCAGACGCTGAAACATCTGCTTGTCTTCGACTCCTGAGCAAGGCCCATGAAAATCTGCGCGGTGGTCTGGTAAGTCATCTGGTCACTACAGTTGAACCTCTAGCGAATCGCTGTAGTGAATTGCTGTTCGAATGAGGAATCTGAGGAATCTCTGAGGTGCAAGCACCACGATGGGCAGGCCCAAGGCCCGCGAGAGGTCCTTGGTGGTCTCCGTCTTCCCCGTGCCCGCCGGGCCGGCCGGAGCTCCTTTTCAAAAAAGCGTCGCATCTAGTGGGCATGTTGAGCATCATGAAATGCGCCTCCAAGGCAGAGGTTCAGGGCCTGTCAGAGACACACTTAGATCCAAGCCATCAGCTTCCCTCTCCAGTTCTCTCTCCAACCTGCGTAAGGGTGATGTAACCTCACATGCAAGGTGGCACTTTCGTGCATTAAAGAACCCTGTGCCAATGTCTTGGGGTGCCTGAAAGGGTGCCATGACCCCATGCGAACGCTAAGGCCAGGGAGCAGCGGTCCGTCAGCGGCGTGATAACAAGCCGGCCAACATTGCCCACATACTCCTGAGCTCTGGAGCTCTGGAGCTCTGCAGACCATGCTTTGCTGACGCTAGCCGCTGACCCCCTGCTACCATGGGGATAGCACGTAAGAGTAGCAGGTGGCCCAATCACAGATGCGAATCAGGCAGGTCTTCTGGTGTGCCTTGGCTCTCGGCCGTTGGCTAAAACATGCTGAGCCCATCTGTGCGCGCAGCTGGGGTGAAGGACACGAGGTTCGAGCCTGAGCGGCGGTTGGTCTCAGACAAAGAACCGCCAATCCACAGGTCCCAGACAGGTCCCAGACCTGGAGGGCATATTTGCCAGTAGAACCGCAGCTGGGATCCCCACCTGTCCAACACAGAGATTCATAAACGCGCTCTCTCAAGATTCTGGGAGATGGCCTGAAATCATTCGCTTCACTGACTTTCTGCAGCACGAAGGACTCGATGACATCCCTGGAGTGGACATCGATGGTGATGATGGTGATGACCTGAGAAAAGAGATCTCTAAGCGAAGCTCTCGCTCTCAGGCTGAGCCTCTGAGCCGCAAGCTTTGGTGCGCAGCTCTTTATCTTTCTCCTTCTGAACACGACGGATCAACTTGTCAATCCTGTCGTCGTTCACCTCTTTCAGCTGAGAAACGAGGATGGGACGAGGACACGCGTGGCAGCTGTGGCTCGAGCGCGCTTGTAGTCCCGCATGGCTGTCTCGCTCCCTGCCTTGCACATGAGAAACTCTCTCCACATCTCTCCACACGTCACCACACTTGCTCGCCACACTTTCTCACTCCCCAGAACCTCCATATCCTCGAAGGCTCTGGCAGTTTCCTGGTGTTTTCCAAACCCCTCCTCTTCTCCACACACATCTCTTGGAGCTCCTCTGTCCAAATGATCTGCGTGGCCAGGAGGCTCAGCTGGGCACAGAATTCGTCTAACCTGGGCCGCAGGGCCATATATGAACCGTCACCATAAGCCTGCACAGCGGTGTCTCACAGCCGCTGAGCTTGCAAGCCATGTTTCACGAGGCCTGGGAGAAAGGACACAAACTGTTTCGGATGCGCTCTGCCGCTGAATCTGCCTGTCTCCCACTTCCCAGATCTCGGCAGACGTGCGTGCCTTGAGAAGACAAATTTGAAACCTGCTCACAGCCTCATGAGGCTCTCGTGCTCTCACCGCTGTCATCTGAATTTCCCTTGGCCTGCTCGAGGATCTCTCGGAGCGCCAAGCGAATGTGAGACTCCAGGCCCGAGAGATATTGTTCCACGGGGCCCTGGCCAAAGAGCGAGAGAAGAGAGAGAGAGAGAGAGAGAGAGATAATGAATGAATGAATGAATGAATGAATGAATGAATGAATCTTTCAAAGACTGAAGAGGAGGAGAAAAGAAACACAAAAAAGAACAGCTCAGCGTTGCTTTTGCTTTTCTTGGCAGCTCTGCTTCGCGCTCTCACAGCACTCTCAGCGCCTCGAGGCTGAAGATGCCAGGAGTCTCCGATGGCCAGGCGACGAACTGCAAGCACTGCAAACAGTTCGAAGAGCGGTCCACAAAAATTTTGCAGCGGGCTAGGACCTCACCATCTTTCGCCCGATGCCCGCAGGCGATGCGTCCAAATTGCGGGTCTTTGGAAAAGTCCAAAGTGCCTACAATTCAAGATGTGCATGAACAGGGTGGAAGCCCAGTTTTCCTATCTTCGGCCGCTGGCGGATGCCATCGAAAACGTCTCCCAAGTACTCGGCGACCTCAACAAAACGCCGCAATCCTCAATAATCTTCATGACATAAACCTGTCTGCGCCGTATTGCCTTTAAAGGCTTGTTGCCATTTGAGAGGATGTCCAGCAAGGCCCCATTGGCCACAAAATAGAATCTTGGGAAATGCTTCTTCTTCTGCTCCAAGTAATCATTCCTTAGTCTGTGGAGCCATGGAGACATGGGCGCCATGCATGACCTTCAGCCAAGGATCAGAGAGCGCTCGCAGGCATCCAGGGCATCATTGATGTCGGCCCTTACAACACCACAAAAGCGTGGATCCGCGAAACCGCTGCATGAATGCAAAGTCGAGTTGAGGGGCAGGGTCTGCGCACGACCCTCGGCCATGCAGATTTCGACAATCAGCGAGGAGCGAGATGCCTACAGGCACAGCATGCACACTGTGGCATCCCGGTGGCTTCGCATTCTTCGCACCGCTTCTGGGTCTGGCCCCTTGTCCGGCCTCCATCATCAAATCCTGATATGGCAAAACACTGAGCAGATGGCACTTGTGAACCTTTCGAAGCAGTCCTTCCAGCTGTTGTCCAAGAGTTCGAAACGCTTGGAGTCATCAGGAAGTTGAGATCGGATGTCGTCACTTTGCATGAAGATGGGCCTATTTACGCGGAATGTCACCATGCCAGACAAAGGTGGTTCTGATTGAAACGTTGCTGAGAGGCTCCAAGCGGCACCAGTTCACTTGGAACTTCCGCCAAACCTCGGAAATATCGCAGTAAAAACTCGAACTCTTTCCGGTTTGTTTTCTCTTCCCTTCCCCTTTTTATGACACCTCCCTTACCATCCTCTGCGTTCCCTGTCTCTCGCTCCCTCCTCTCTCGAGTCCTTCGCTCTCGCTCACGCTCCTGCCCTCTCCGTCTTCTCCTTCTACAAGCTCAGCATCCTCCAGGAGAGAAAACGCCAGGGCACAACCCCCAAGCTCACAACAGCGCATGTCGCGCAATTTGCCGATGCTGAAAAAACACACAGCATGGCTAAAAGAAACTCACACTTTATCTGGCATCCACTATGAATTTCTCCGCTTCACTCACCAGGGTGAACCTGCAGATGCCTTTCTAGAGATGCATCTACATCACAGCAGTTGCCACTTTGAGGTATTTTTTCTCATGTGCACTACACGCAGTCCAAGGATTGCATCGGGTTCCACCCCGTAACCCTATGGTCTGGACTATTTGTAAAAGTTCAGCCAAGGAAGAGTTGACGGAGGGATCGAGAGCGACCTCCTGCCCAAGACCCCAAAGCCATGGGCCAACGCTCCCATGTACTTCTCGCATGACTCCAAAATGACCAACGTCAACTCACCCACAATCAACCGACAGGGCTTCATCTTTCCTGTTCAATTGTTCAATCTTTGTAAGCTGGACCGCTTGCTCTCCAGTCACTGCTTTCGCCTGGCGTTTATCTCCATGAAGTCGCACACCTCGTTCACGGCTTTGCCTGCTCAATGAGAACAAGTCTTACCACATCATCTTCGCCGATTCCTGATTGTTTGTCCTTTGCCCAATGTCTTTTCTGGATCGTCCAGGCCATGTCCAACTGTTGCCTCCTTCGGTCTTGGTGGATTCTGTTGCTATGTGTCCTCCCTGGTTGCACGCAAATCTCCCACTGTGCGCAGTTGGCGCGGCTCCTGGCTACGCAAATGTTGTGAAAGCAGATGGTAGCCCAAAGCTTAAAAAGAGAATCACCACGCACTCAGCACTCTTTTCCATCTACGCTCGAACTACGTTCCATAGGCTACAAGGGGCCCCTAGGAGACGAGCATTAAACAGCGGAGGCATTCAGGCTTCACAGCATGCGCTTCCAAGAAGTGTTGCAACAGCAATGGGACATGTCTTTCACAGCTTCCCGACATTCTTTCTTGGAAGCTTCTATACACTGTCCCTCATGGGTTCACTTTCGGTTGTACCCAAGTCTATCACGCTCATCCTTCTTGCTTTCAGTAGCTTCTCATAGAAACACCAAGGATCACGCT